AAAATTTGGGGTTAGGTAATTAAAGAGAAGATAATTAAAGAGGAGATAATTAAAGAAGAGGGAAATTTTAGGTTATGAATACATGTGGGTTGCTTTTTGGGTGGGCATAGGTTTGTATGTTTCACATGAGTTGGCCTATTATATATGGGTATTTTTTATTTTTAAAAATTTTGGGGTAGGCAGCAGCCTATCTTGCCCTAGGCGTAGGACCGCCCTTGCATTTTATGGTATAAAACCATTAACGAGAACCATTTAATGATGCCAACTTGTATTTGAATGTAGGGCTTGTCAGATATATAGGTCCCTACAATTTCTATTTCCTAGACATATACTCATCATTCTATAAATCTATGTGTAAAACCCAATTTCAAACATAAATGACCAGTAGGATATAATAGGTCATAGTATTCCTATATTTTTACATCCTTGCCATCAGACTTCATATTTTATTTATAATTTATTCTAAGCATTTCATTAACTGCCATAATTGTAATTAAAACTCCCTATTAATAGCATAGCAATCACCCATTTCTTTTGGTTGCCATTCCCTCTAACATATCGCCCCCTAAAATTGCAAACCAAAAAAAAAATATATGTAAATTACATATCCTATAATGTACATATGAAAAATATAAATATAAATATATATGTATAAAATTATAGGTATATTATTTACCAAAAAAATTAACAAAAATAGGTCAGTTACTTTGTAATTGAAATTTCCGTACATTTTTCATAAATTAAAAATAGGTACACAATAATTTATAGAAAATAGGTATGTTGTATAATTGAAATTTATGCACATTTTTTATAAATTAAAAATAGGTACATTATTTGGAAGAAAAAAATAAGTTCATTATACTAGGTAAATTGTTTTACTAGGTATACATTATTAGAGAAAAAGAAAAAGGTACATTATTTAGAGAAAAAAATAGATACAAAATTTAGCAAAAAAGTAGGTTCATTATACTAGGTAAATTGTTTTACTAGGTACATTATTAGAGAAAAAAAAAAGGGTACATTATTTGGAGAGAAAAAATAGGTTCGTTTTAAAAAAAATTGTTTTCATAAACCAAACAATAAAAAGATGATCAAATTATTTTTCATAAAACAAGTAATAGGTACTTTATTTAGAGAGAAAAAAAATAGGTACATTATTTAGAGAAAAAATAGGTTCATTAAAAAAAATGTTTTTCAAAAAACAAACAATAAATAGATTATCAAATTATTTTTCAACATATTAGAATGGACACTATTATTCATAAAACTATAATAAAATAGAATACTAGTCGTATAATTCATAAAAGGAAAACAACATTAATTCCTAAATTTAATATTGAATTTAAATTACTAATAAGTTAAATAGATTGCTAGTAGTAATTCATAAAAGGAAAACAATATTAATTCAAAAATAGATTACTAGTCGTAAAATAGATTACTAATACTTTAATATGAAATTTAATATTTAATTTCAAATAAGTTTCTAAATTAATTCCTACATCCATTACAACTATTTGGATATCTTTCCAAATTCAACGTGTGTCATTAGTTACACCCCCTCATAACACATTAACTTATAAATAGGGGTAGTTTTGGAATCCAAAAAATACAATAAATCAGATTTTAAGTTATATTAGGTAACTTGCTTAGTTGGATCCTATTCATCGGGTATTATTTGAAAAAATTGGGTATTTTAAATAGAAAACTAAAGGAAAGGGTTGTAGGTGATTGAAAATGTATTATCTAAATTAACAGTTTGACAACATAAAATCCAGATATCAGATGAGAGAAGATTACCTTTTGGATTTATATATAGAAGAAGCTAGCAAGCCAAGGACGTTTGGTTGAAGTCCACATAGACTGAGTATACAGCATAGAAAGCATTACAGGACAGGACAGCAGGGCTATCTCATCTCAAGGTCTCTTGGAAGAGAGCTTTGAAGCATAAACATGAAAAGGAACAATGCGAAGCATTTGTGTGATTTCTTGGATTGGACAGGATTGCATAGGCATATTGCAGGAACAAGTTGGAGGCCATTGAAGAAGAGAACTGTAACAACTACTCTAATCTTCTTGTTATTGTTGTTGATCTTCTTTGTTGCTGCGTTGGTATCTGCAGGCTGGATCGATGTTGTAAGTTCCATGAACTCCAATCGTGCTAGCTATATATAAAGTTCTAACATAGGCATTCTATCTTCTGTCATAGTGTTTTTGTGTGTGTGTTTTGTTTTGTTTTTTTTAGAGTAAAACTAATAGGACCAAGATTTCAAAAACTAGAAATATTTGAATGGGGTTTACCAGTCACCTTGTTCACGATCTCTCCAACTAGGGTGAAACTTATGTCTCTTAGTTCCACCTCTATTAGATCGCTGGTCAGATTGTTTTCTTTTAGGTTGAAGGAGAGCGTGCCTGCATTAGATATGAGGGAGAGCGAGAGTCAAATTTTCATAACAAGTATGGGGTATGTGAGCAACTAATTAAGTGAGAATTGCCTAAGAATGTGTATACTAAACTGATATTACAAAGAAACGAAATATTAGTTATCAGAAAAGGAATACAAAGAAAATTTATTGAAATACAAGTCATATATAGCTTTTCATTGCATAGAAAAGTTCTTTGTATCAAAATCTCTCCTTTGATACTAACATATACAATTCATGTTTTTCTCTCTTAGTTTATATTTTTAGGTGCTTTTTCTAAGAAATCAATCACAACAACCACAAACACAAGCACACCCAAGAGACCTGAATTCCCACTGCAGTGTACCGAAGGAGTTAATGTGACACAAGGTTGTCCAAGAACCTACCCTACCACACACTACCCCACAAATCCTAGCCGTCCATCCAATCTCACATGCCCATCATACTTCCGATGGATCCATGAAGATCTACGGCCGTGGAAAGAGACTGGAATCACGAGGGACATGATAGAGCGGGCCTGCAGGACTGCACATTTTAGGCTCTTGATCGTGGACGGCAAGGCTTACATAGAGAAGTATAGACAATCCATACAAACTAGGGATATGTTTACGTTATGGGGCATTTTGCAGCTTCTAAGGGTGTACCCTGGTAGATTGCTTGACTTGGAGCTCATGTTTGACTGTGATGATCGGCCCGTCGTCCGATCAAAGGACTTTCGGGGCCCAAATGCTGGCCCGCCACCGTTGTTTCGATACTGCGCGGACGAGGGGAGCTTGGATATTGTGTTCCCAGATTGGTCTTTTTGGGGCTGGTAAATATTTGCTTCTGTCTTACTCATACATGTTATGTTTGCATGTGAAATGCCCTTTGTTTTTGTTTCCTTGTTTACTTTAGAAACTATGTGTTACATATTAATTACGGTTCTATCAATTCCCAATTTCTAGCCCATTTGAAAAGAAGAGAATTAAAAACTCTGGCCCATAAATTGTTTGTACAAGATGTGTGGCCCAAAACCCTTTTCATCTCCACCAACTTTGGCCCAAACATTTGAATTGGGTGACCCAATAAAAAGAAAGAAGAGATTTTAGAGGATAAATTATTTTTATTAATGAAATTTGTAGATGGACTAATTTTAATTTTGGTAGGGCTGAGACCAATATAAAACCATGGAGAAGCCTATTGCCAAGCATAAAAGAAGGCAATAAAAGAACAAAGTGGGAAGACAGGGTGCCCTATGCTTACTGGAAAGGTAACCCAACTGTGGCTCCAACCAGAAAGGACCTTCTCAAATGCAATGTCTCGGACAAAAATGACTGGAACACACGCCTATATCTTCAGGTGCATTAACTTCTCTAAGTATTATTATGTATAAAATGCAATCTTTTTAAGTATTCATTTGTCCGATGTTTTGATCTTCTATTTCCAGAATTGGGAGCAAGAATCTAAACAAGGGTACAAGGATTCAAACCTAGAAAACCAGTGCAAGCACAGGTAGTTTTTGCAATTTTTTTTGTTTTTGTTTTTGAAATTACATTTTACAAATTTTTTTACAAACTTAAAATTTCCTTTGTTTTCTTTGTTTATGTATAGAGATTTGGTTTTTACAGGTACAAAATTTATATTGAAGGATGGGCATGGTCTGTAAGTGAAAAATACATCATGGCATGTGATTCTATGACCTTGTATGTAAGGCCTCGTTATTACGATTTCTTCATGAGAGGAATGGAGCCATTGCAGCACTTTTGGCCTATTAGGGACAACAGCAAGTGCACTTCTCTCAAGTTTGCTGTGGAATGGGGCAATAATCACAAAGACAAGGTTAGAACTTTAGCCGTATGACGATTTTTTATTTTTATTTTGTGTTAAATAGTGTGACATGTTTTGTTATTAAACTGTGAATTTCAACTGCACATTCAAATGATTTACATTTGGTATCTCGTGAATATGATAGGCGAAGGCGATTGGGGAGGCTGCGAGCAACTTCATACAAGAAGATCTAAAGATGGACTATGTGTATGATTACATGTTTCATGTGCTAAATGAATATGCAAAGCTCTTGAAATTCAAACCAACTATACCTCCCAATGCAGTGGAACTGTGCTCAGAAAAAATGTCATGCCCTGCAACTGGTACATGGAAGAAGTTCATGGTGGAGTCTATGGTGAAGTCTCCAAGTGATGAACTCCCATGCACTCTGCCTCCTCCATATGATCCTCTGGCTCTCCGTGATTTTCTTGAGAGAAAGGCTAACTCAACTAGGCAAGTGGAAGCTTGGGAAAATGAATATTGGCAAAGTTTTGAAAAAAAGCAATAGGAACTTTTTTTTACCATGGGTTTCATAGGCCATGACTTATAATTTTATATGTCCTAGACTGGAAAGAAGAGATCTGAACACAAGCATTCAAAGCTTGCTACAAAATCAATGGCTCTCTACTGGTAAATATCAACTCTGATGGTTTGTTTCAATGTATATCAACTCTGATGGTTTGTATCAATGTATTTCATAAGTTTTACATCAAGAATTTTTCAAAGATAAGTGATAAAAAAATAACACAATAAAATCTGAAATACACCAATATATAGCAAAGAAATGTACCAATTAATGTTTTAAAATTGAATCCACATCTGATCTGGAAAATAAAGTAATTAACATAAAATAGCTCACACAACTAACAAAAAATAAAATTGAAGATAGATCATGTGACAAGGTGATGGATCAATAATGCTCTACAAGAATATTTAGAGTGCCCGCCCTTTTATGATATCCAAGCTCATCTCACTAGGGTCTGTTGCCTGCAACTCCACTTGAATCCCATCCAACTCCCTCTTGAATCTGTCCTTGGAGCTTGCATAAAGCATCTTACTTCTCACCCTTGAAGTATCAGGTGCCCTATAAAGAACAGAAGCCATTGAACAATTGAATACATACGGGATAATGTTATCTTATCAGATATATACCTGACACGTTACGCGAGACAAAAATACTGTCAGTCAGAACGGTACAATCTAACAAGAGTCTACTTTAGCAATGATCCGGCTTTAGACTGGAAAACATAGCATGCCTAATTTCTAACTACATATGTTTACTTACCAGTCAAGTCAGTCTTCTTAGCAAAACATAGGCATGTATATGCATGTTGTCTCTTATATCATCACACATCATATTATGCACTACATGCACATGATGAATGATGCAAACATCACATGGCATGTAATTAGGGGTAAACTGTCATTTTGGCCCCTAAAGCATCATGGTAGTTCAGAAGGTAAATTGAAGCTACCTTGATGTATGTAAGTGTATGTGATTATACTAACCATGCAATGAAGAAAATTTTGCTTTTCTGGCAGTTCTCATTGGTTGTAAAATCATAATCATAGACGGCATAGCGGCACTCATCGGCAGGCAAGGAGGCAGCAAAATCGTCGTAGCTTTCATCAGGACCTCCAACCTTCTCCACAACCACCTGCTGTATCTTCTCCTCGATCTTGAACACAATAAATCGGTGGTTCCTCTTTGCTTTTAGTTCCAAGAACTTGAGCTTACAATCATCATGCACAGCCATTCCAGATGCCGAGTTTGCCTACCATATCATCAATTTCACACCGAAAGTATAGCGTGCTTATAAAATTAGAACTTTAGAATAAAGTAAGACAACTTTCTACATTTTTCTCCTTGTTAATTATATTCAAAAGTCGAACAATTTAATAGCATAACATGTCTGACAGCCTAGAATAACTTTGCCTACCACGATCAATTTCACCAGTCTATGCATATAAAATTACAATGGAGAAGCAAGTGAACTACTTTGTACACTAATTCTTGTTAATCATGAATATAGATAAAGTAGAACCATTTCTAAACGTGCGATCCAAGAACAATCTAATAACATAACATGTCTAAGGATCAAAAGATTGTCATTATAACTGTATATAGATCAACCTTGGGAAAAAGTATTAGACCATAAGTACTATTCAAGCAACTATGTCCCATGTAATTGCCGGATGACAAAAGAAAAAAATGTTGAATCGTACGAAAGTCTTCATGGCCTAAATTTTTTGCACATTAATATAATTCCATAGCAACAATGTAAATATAAATCGATCAGATATATACATCAAGCCATGTCAAACATGAGATATCATCATTAAATTAAGAAAACAAAATGACAAACACAGATCTTCTAGTAACTCTAATTGATAGCTGTCAAAGTTCTTCACACGTAAGCATTTTCATGTTGAATTAGCTTACCATTTTGTTCTTCTATACACGATGAACCTTGTGCTCTGAGAAAAGAAAATGCAGAAAAAAAGAGAGAGATGTGTGACAGATCTGCAAAAATCTCTGATTTTGATAACTGCATGAGAGAAAGTTGAGTTTGGGAGAAAAAGAAAGGTAGGGGAGGAGAGATTTTTGTGGGAGAAAATGGGGGTTGGGATTTTTCTCTTGGGATTTTTTAAATTTATTTAGCTTGGCTCTGATCACGTCAACCAACTTTCATCATGTTGCCACGTTTAGAGGTGTATTTGGAGGCCTTTTTGGCCAATAAATTTAATGTGATTAATTTCATCTCCCATATTAAGATCTCTCAAACCTTGGTCTTCCATGTACTTCGCAATTCCGTTATGCTGTTTAGAGAAGGCCAATTTGGGGTTCAAACTTGGATTTGAAGCTGCACCTATGACTTGTTGACTTGATGATAGTCATTTTCTAGGTGAAAACCAAACAAACATATTTTCACTTAATTATCAATCTAAATTGACAATTTTGATAATAATTAAAAATTTCTCATGGCATCATAAACTCAAAGGAACTGCTTAATAAAAATTGCAAAATGATGCCTCTTTTGTCGGAAATTAAACTCTGGAATCTTGATCCCCAAGTTCCACAAATTTTTCCCTCACGTCATTTAATAAGTCCATGTTTAAGTTGCCAAACAATAAAAATATCAATTTCTCCTCTTTAATTTTCGACTTTTAGCTAATTCCCAAGTTATTTTCCACCATCCAAATTGAGGGTCAAGTTTTCACTAAATTCTAAAGGTTGGAGGTATTTTCGTCAAATTCTACTTCACTCTTTATAATTTATGAGTAAAGCTTGGTATTTTAGTACTTGTCAAATTCAAAAACAAATAAAGTTAAAAGAATTTCAGAAAAAGAAAAAGTTAAATGACCCTAGTGCTAATTTAATCCAGATTACGAATCTGGATTAAACTATAAACATGTTGTTTCTTAACTTTAATCCAGATTACGAATCTCGCCAATTTTATTGACAGAAATTTAATGTGGCAACGTGCTCATTTTCTTGTAGATCACGGCAAATTTTCTTCTCACAATTAAAAAGTTTCCAAATCGATGGACTCAAATTGCCAAATCTATAGGACGAAAGGGAAAGAATGACCGAATACCAAGCAACTAGGGTCATTTAACTTTTTCTTTTTCTGAAATTCTGTTAACTTTCTTTTTTTGGAATTTGACAAGTATTAAAATACCAAGCTTTACTCATAAATTATAAAGAGTGAAGTAGAATTTGACAAAAATACCACCAACTTTTAGAATTTAGTGAAAACTTGACCCCTTGTTTGGATGGTGGAAAATAACTCGGGAAGTGAAGAGGAGAAATATTTTCATTGTTTGACAACTTAAGCATGAAACTTATTAAATGACGGTCGAAAAAAATTGTGAAAATTGGGAATCAAGATTCCTAAGTTTAATTTCCACCAAAAGAGGCGTCATTTTGAAATTTTTATTGAGCATGAATTCGTTTTTCATTGTAATTTCTGTCATTTACAAAATTCAATATACATATCCCCAAGGATCCAGATCATCTGCTCTAATTTGCTGTCATGATCTCCTTGATTTTTGTGCTCCACTCGCCACATCATTAAAATTTAATCTAAGAGATTTAACCTTGACAAATCATCCTTAAAATTAAAACCTAATTTACTCCTAAATAAAAATGAAAAAAATGCCCAAACTTACAATACCAAGCAGTCTGGAAGATACAAATCAAGCAGCATGCCTTTTTGCTCCTAAGTATTGTTGGCTGCTCCTCTCGCAGGGGCGGTCGGATTAAGGGACAAGAGGGGTCGCTTGACCCCACGAACTGGCCGGAAAAATGGCTATGGACAGCCTGTGGAGGCCTGAGCAGACCCCATGGCAAGCAGAATGACGACCCCAAGAGATACAAAGCAAGGTGCTCGACCAAAGGCCACAGAGGTTGTTTTGTTTGCTGCTGTGTGAGACCCTGAATATTACTTTAGATTGTTGGGCTCGATCTCACGAAGAAAACAGTTCGTCAATCGGAGCCCCACAACCAAAGTTATGAATTTTAGAAGTTTTTAACAACTTTTAGAATTGAAGTTGCAGAGCATGTTCGACGAAGAAGAAAGACTCAGCGTGTTTGGGGTTATAATCCAGCACTTCACATTTTAATTCCTTTTTGAAATGATTCATTAGCAAGGCGCAACATGTCTATTTTTAATTGGACTAACTTCATAAATTCATTAAAAAGTCATATGTGCTATGAAAAATTCATCGAAAATTACCCAAAACTTGTAATCACATGTATTTTTATCTCATGACCTCCAAATCACATGTACTTTTATTTGTTTTAATTATGAATGACATTAATATTATTTAAATCTGAAGGGTATTTAGTTGTCTGAATTTTTTTTTTCAAGTCTTTAGCCTTTTAAAATTGTCCCTCCATTGAAAAATTCATGGAAATTATCAAGAGGAAATTAATCTACAAAAACATTATGAAAATTAATCTTTTAAGCTTTAAAATTGTTATTTTTTTTTTAAATTTTTAAAAATTAATGTAGTTCCATGTTTCCTTTGTTTTTTTTTTTTTAATGTGAAATAAATAATAATTATTATTATTTTTAAATAATTGTATAGAAAATGACTCATTTGTCCTAAAAATACCTCATCAGTTTGCCTAAAAAAACTTCGACACATTTTATACCGTGACCCTATGACCCAAGAATCCTGGATCTGCCATTGAGCCTCCCTAACTAGACCAGTAACAAAGGTCCAAGCTTTACCTGCACATAGCTTGCCTGAATGGTCCCTGATAAATAAAAAAACGATGATTTGAGCATAACCCATCACCATAAAAGCATCAAACTTCAAGCTCAATCCCAGAAACTTAAAACTGTTGAAGTGCAAAAATTGAATCCCCATGTTACCTTCATTTAAAGAACAAGAGAGAGCAAGACACGGGGGTACGAATTTACATTTTATATGTCTGAAACGGTTATTTATTTTTTAAAAAATTTTAAAATAGAGAGCCCCATAAAGCCGAGCGGCTATACACTTAAAACACATTATATTTTAGAAGGTATAGCCCGGCGGCTATACTATTTAATAAAATAAAAAATAAAAATCAGGTATAGCCGCACAGCTAGACTATTTACAAAAAAAAAAAAAAAACAGAGCAGACGCATAGAGCTTAGGTTGGGTCTTCAATTAACAGAAAGAAAATTGGTTTCGCCTTCCAATTAAGTTCCAACCAATAAATTAGAATCATATGTATCCAGAGATTTTATAGGTACAATGAGAAATTTTGGGAATGTTTTCAAAATGTGGTGGGTGTGCTAATCAAAACCTTAAGTGCATTTACAAATCCTTAAAATATTCTCTCATACATATACGTGTAAGTGATTCTCTCCTACATTACAATGTTAAACCAATGTTGAAAGATGTTTCAAGTTCGAATGCCTCATTTCTCGTCATTAAAACAAAAAACAAAGCTATTAGATTGGTGAGAGAAAAGATGGAATTTCTCACTCATAAATATTATTATAGGAGTTCATTTCCTGAGATGATGAGAATGCCCCTCTTTAATATAAACAAGTTGAAATAAGTAGCTAGAAATGTGGCCTATTCTTATATTAACCTCTAAATCGATACAAGGATGTAATTGGTATTTATGTCCAGACATTTAAAGATTGATTCATCATTGAAACAAACATTTTTATACCAAATTTAGAATACACTAGATGCCAAAAAATTTGCCAAATTAAGGACATGCAGTGGTCCTCACCAAGAACAATGCTTTCTCCAAAAAAATAATCACCCTATCCTACTCTTTTGAAGGTGAAACGATTGTCTCAGAAAGTGTTTGATTACAGGCTAGCTACTTAGGCGCACCCCAAATATACTATCTTCTCCACCATCCCATTTGCTATCATATTCTTCATCATCTATGCAGACTACACTGTCTTTAACCTTCCCATGCATCCTGTTGACCTGAGAATCCATGAACTTTTTCAAGATCACAACACTCGATTACCTCGACAGAAAACTGAATTAACCTTGACTGCTGAGAGCATGCCACAGCTTTCCATGCAGGAAAAGATAGATGAAGTTGCAGAGGAAGTTCCTGATCCTCTGGTTCCTCCAGAAAATGTCACAAAAGGGGAAGCTCCCGGAACTGCAGATACTCAACTCAAACAATTTAACAGAGCAGTTTCATGGTCGAGTACTTGAGTTCCTCAACCATGGATGCAGTGCTCAGTTCTACATGATATGGTTTTCACCAACAACCAAGTTTGGCAAAAGTGAATTCATGGCCATGGACAGTCTCTTTAAATTCAATCCTAAAGGGTGCTTGATGATCCTATCAAAAAGCATGGATTCAGGAAGTGGATACAGAATCCTGAAGCCGCTTCTCTCTAGTAGATGTTCATAGTTCCATTACGGAGAGGATCGCGGGTCGCGGGTGTGGGCAATGGGTCGTCTCGGCTTGGTGGTGGTGATCGACTCGTGAGAGGGAAGGAAGCAACATCGTGAGGTTTTTAAAGTCAGAAAAACCAAAAAGGACCCACCCTGGCCCCCAGGCGCCCAGACCCGCCTTGACCCGCCTAGACCCGCCTAGCCACCGCCTAGACCCGCCTAGGCGCCGCCTAGGCCGATTTTTCGAATCTAAAGCAAAAGAAAAGAATTCATAGCTATTTAAATGTCCCAAATTGAAGCAGAGTCTTGTCGTCCCATACTATCAGTTTTCAGATTGAAAAATCTTACATCTTTGCAAGCATCAACACTTGAAAGATACTCTAGCCTCCAGGGGGCGGACGGATTAAGGGACAATAGGGGTCGCTTGACCCCACGAACTGGCCCTAAAAATGGCTATGGACAGCCTGTGGAGGCCTGAGCAGACTCCATGGCGAGCAGAACGACGATCCCAAGAGATACAAGCAAGGTGCTCGACGAAAGGCCACAAAGGTTGTTTTGTTTGCTGCTGTGTGAGACCCTGAATATTACTTTAGATTGTTGGGCTCGATCTCACGAAGAAAACAGTTCGTCAATCGGAGCCCCACAACCAAAGTTATGAATTTTAGAAGTTTTTAACAACTTTTAGAATTGAAGTTGCAGAGCATGTTCGACGAAGAAGAAAGACTCAGCGTGTTTGGGGTTAT